CAGACTTTAAATTCTCACTGGCTGTGCACAAGCCTTTATGTTCATTTTAACAGCACCGTTCATGCTTACTCAATAGTAAGTCCCATTGTATTCACTTTGGCTTACTCCCAAGTAAGGGCATTTAGGATTTTGGCCTTCATCCTATTCTGCCATTCATTGTTATATTCTATTGAATTTTTTGTATAATACAGTTCATACTGATCTCGACTATCCCATTTTGCTTTTTTTCTAACTATCACTATGGATACTTTATTTTATTTGTTGCATTAAAGATATTAATATCCCACATTTTCATGGACAGCTAACAGCAAGAGATAAAAGCTATGACAGGCAAAATAGCAAATTCAAAAGCATTAGCCAATCAAAACATAATGAAGAACAGATGAAATATAAACAAATAAAATATGAACAATGTAAATAATAATGAGAACACACAAAAAATAATCTTACAGGCTAAAGCTCTGTCTAAACACCATTGAGGGGGATAGAGGTGGGTAGCCATGTCTGGAAACACCTAGCCACTTCTGAATGATTAAATCATGAGTTACTTTTTATTCTGGTCAGTAGAACAGCAAAAGATTCATAAAATGAATTATGAAAAATGCAAGTCAAGAATCTGGTTGACATTGATTTACACATACTCAAGACCCAATGTCTTTCTAATTTCCTATGTGGGTATGGTACTATTTCTGGGTAGGAAATACTATACAGTATTTGACATTTCTTGTGATGATTGCACATAGTGTCTATTCTGCTTCGTATGCCTCTTACATGTAGTGTAAGTGCACTGGACGTCTGAGGCTAATAGGCACATGTATAAACACATGAGATATGTGTCAATTATTTCCTTGGATAGACAACAGTTTCCTGCCCCACCATGTTAATTAGCATAATGACACAAAGGATATTAGTGTTATCACCGATTTCTGCTGTCATGAATGGTCACTTTGCATAACAGATACATCACATAGCATTTCCATAGACTATATATTTTTTTGCATTTCATTGCTGCTTAGCACAAATATACATTTGGCAGCTGAGGATAACACTTCATGCATCCAGCAAAGTGGACTCTGGTCCACAAAAGCTTATGCTAGAAACCATCTGTTAGTTCCTGAGTTTATTTGCATGTCATCTCCAAGAATAAAGTTCTTTATAGGATTTTTATTTTATTTTAAAAACTGTATTTCTTCTCCTGAACGCCACTGGTCACAACAGAAAGAAGGAAATATAGGCAACAAACACTAGAGAGCTACTAGACCAGACACTGCACATCTGGAATTATGAAAAAGCTCTTCTAGGTAGGAGGATGTGCCCCTGGGGAATCGTTGAGCCCCAGCACCTCTGTGTTATAAAGATTCAGCACTGCCTGCAGAATACATGATAGAGGGTTCCTTGCACATTAATCATTGTGTGAGCAGGGGGCCTGGAGTGCAGTTAACAATGCAAGATTGGAAAAGAGGTTATTTAAGGGAAAGTGCCCTACCTTTCCCAGTGACATTCTGCTTTTTCTCACTTGTACACTATTTGGAGCATAGAAATATACCATGTGGCCATGAGTGGAGATCAATGAGTGTTTGTCTACCACTGAGTAGACCAATGAGTGTGCTGCTTTCAGACTTGTGTCCAAGTAATAGATTTGGGATCAAGATGTTGGAATCATAGACTCCTAATATCACAGGCTTTTGTTGTTGTTGTGTAGTCATTTAGTCGTTTAGTCGTGTCCGACTCTTCAAGACCCCATGGACCAGAGCACGCCAGGCACTCCTGTCTTCCACTGCCTCCCGCAGTTTGGTCAAACTCATGCTGATAGCTTCGAGAACACTGTCCAACCACCACAGGCTTTTAATTCTGTGCTTTTCTTTCTCTTTTAGTCATGGAGGGAAAGCAACTATTTAGAAAACAAACCCATACACGAGAGAAACCATTTCAGATGGGCTGATTTGATTCCCCAGCGCCTTCAGCTACAGTAAAAGTAGAGTAAAATGCAGGGCTGTGAAGCTTTCGTCTTGTGATACTTCATTCCCAAGTCCCTGTACAGAAGATAGCTCTGAACGCGAGTTTGAGTCACGCACCTTTTAAACTTTCCACAAGGTGGCGAACGCTGCTTGCAACAGGTTTTCTGTGGTGAAACGCATCAGAAGGTTTCAATGATTTTTTTGTAAGTCCATAAATTAGTTATTTGAAGAAGGGAGAAAATAAACTTTATTTGTATCGGCTCACACGAATTATAGTGGAAGTTAAAAAAGCACAAGCGAATAGTGTTCCTCGATGGCAACTGATTCCTATCAGAAAAACAAACATTATTTACCCAATAAATATTATTTTCTTGCTACATGCTCAAGGAGAAAGTCTAATATTTCTACCTGTATATAAAATGCTAAAACACAATTAAAATTAATCGACAAAATCTGATTAAAACTATCGTGAACATTGTGTGTCCTTCAGCTGCTGAAAGCAGTGGAGCTTATTTTCTGTTAAATTATATAAACATTTTGAGTTTTGAGAACTCGATGTTTCAAAGCGCTCCTGCGTGTATGTTCAAGCCAAATAACTGAATCAGGAAGTTTAAAAAAATCATTGTGGTTCCGCTTCTTCCTGCTTTTTTTGCTCATCAGCTTAATAATTAACATGCACGGCAGTGGCTCCATCAGTCTGCATTTCTTGAGACAATTTTCTGAAATGGATCTGGACTTCTACCTTCAAGAAGGAAACAAGAAGCCAGTAATACCAAATTACTTGAAACGGAGACCAGACGTGATCTTTTCCCCATCGCCCCTCTTCCTCTACATCATTTTCAGGAAAGTAATGCTTATGGATTGTGAATTCCCAAGGAGGGATTCCCTTAAGAATTCCCTTGCATATGAAGTTTTAATGGAAACCCTCCCCGCCTGCGTGTGCTTCCCTGCCAAGTCCAAGCTGCTTGGGTTTACAGGGGGGAAAGGGGGAGATGGGAGGAAGAAGATACAAACATAACTTTCCCAGAATTATCAATTTCTAATCATTTCCTTGCGTCTCATTGCCTGGGCGTTTGTGTTATTTGTTGTTGAAATTCTCAGATGGCGTCTAAAACCGAGATCTGTCCACAATTTTTTTAAAAAAGCATACAACAGAGAATAAATATGCGTATGTTCATTACACTTTCAAAATGGGCAAATAAATCACAGTGAATATGGTATGACAACAAGCCACCATCACCGTATGAATAAAACGATGACATTTCTAATTTTGCCCTGCCAGCATGGGAGCTCTGTAAATATGGAGCAATCTTGGGGGCAACATTCTTCCAAGTTCTTTGTGCAGTTGCCAAAGCCATTCAGCACCACAGTGTTTGGACAGCTCCGGTGGGAAAGCAACTGTTCGCCCAGCGGGTAATCAATCCACCCGACTGTCAATTGCCATCTCTAATTAGAAAATTATAGAGAATCCTCTAAGACTTCAAACAGCTTTGGAGGGGAAATTAATAGTAATGTAATGACGACGGCAACAAAAACAGAGATTGAAATATTTAATTGCACTGGTTAAAGAAGCACATGCCCAAGATTTCTTGGCTTCGTAAACAAATAGCAAGTCTTCTGTTTGAAAAATGACCGGAGTCCACTTACTTGGAAGCAATTTCCATTGAAATCAGTGGGGATTATTTCCAAGCAAGGCGTTTAGGAAGAGGAGAAAAAAGTATATGTGAAGGACAGACTTTCTGCAAGAGACATGCAATCGAATGACCCGTCTCTGAAATATAGGGGAAATGTGAAATTCGAAAATTAGCCACCTCAGTGAGAGTTTTGGTTGGGAAGGGGCGGGGGGGGAGGTGTAAGTTAAAGTGCTTATGAGAAGCTTATGACTCCTGCTCGCATCATCTTGAAGTTGGGATTGTTCTGTTCCTTGAGGAATTGGGGTGGTGACGTCTTTTCTGATACCGATTATTACGTGACTGCAACAACAACAATAAAAAAAAGTCATTGGCAAATAAAAATCCGAACGCCACATCAACAGAGAAACAAAACAAGCCAGACACCCGGCAAGGCAACAAGGCAGAGAGATTGAGAGAAAGAGAGGGAGAGACCCCCTGTTTACAACAGAGAGCTGGGAACAGAAAGCAAAGAGAGTGCAAAAGATCTGGTAGCTAAGGTGGGAGCCGGGGCTGTCAGCATCCAGCAGCCAAAGCTGGTCAGCTTGGAAGGCACAGAAGGGGGAAGAAAGGAGAAGAAAGGAGGAGGCAGTGAAGCAAAGGGAGACAAATCGACGCTGAAGCCAGGAGCTGCTCAGGGAAGGGGAAAACCACCGCTCTGTAGCATTTGCTATAACGCAGCCAGTTCCCACTTTCTCCCTTTCTGTTTCCCTCTTCCTTCCTGCAAGGATTTCCCCTTCTTCCTCTCCTCACCCTCTCTCTCTCTCCCCTTGTCTCTTGCCTGCCTGGCAGACTCCACTTTACACCTGCAACTTTTAAAAAATTTGAGCTGAGCAACCCCCCCCCCCAAGCTAGGCAGCTAACAAGTCGATCTGCTTGTCTGTCCCACGCCCCCTCCCTTTCTGCGGTTTCCCTCTTTGCCCATCAGAGGAAGAAAGCAAGAGACACAGAGGGAAACCGAGAGAGAGGCGATGCTTCAGGAGGATTAACTATCCCCACCAAAACTTCCTGGAAGGAAGAGAGCGGGAGAAGGAGGAGAACAACAACAACAACAACAAAAAGAAGGGAGAAATCCTCCTTGATTCAGATCCAGTCTTGCGCCTGGTTTCCAGAGTTGAATGGTAAGGCGAATGAGCGGAATCGGGGCGGGGGAGAGGGGCATGGCAGTGCCGGGGGGGAGGAGGGGGGCGGGTGGGTGGGAGAGGTTGTGCCTGGGTTGGTGAAAAGTCCCACAGGCGGGTTCCCCAGCATCTGATAGCTTCAAGGTGACAAGAGCTGGTTCTTTACTGGACAAAGCTGGGGAAGGGGACAGGGAGCCCCCTAGGAGCCCCTTGTGACCGCGGTTTCTCTTTCCCACCCTCCTAGAGTGGCAATGTGTAACAAAGCGCTTCTCGCCCTGCTGGTCTATGGGATAATCATGCACTGCAGCGTCTACTGCTCGCCTGCTGCTGGACTCCAATACCCCGCGCTGAGGTGAGTGAATGCCCGGCTCTCCCCACCCGACTGGGAGCCAGGGCTTGGCTTATTATACTGCATGGGATTTCTTTCCCCCACCCTTCTCTCGCCACTGCTAACCGGGTCCAGACGCTTCGCTGGGAGCTGTCCAGCTCAGATTCAGCCTTCTAGCCTCCAGCTAGAGACAAATTGTCCCTTTCCTTGCCAAGAAGGAAAACTCCCCAAGAATTCCCTCATTCTCTAACCTTGGGGAACCCACGCAGCTCAAGGTTCCAAGTCCGGGTTAGGTCACTTGCTTAGAGACATTGATAGCTGATGCTCTAAGGAACCCTCCAGGTTAGAAACACAGGCTGCTGTCCTTAGCGCAGCGGTGAAATTGACTACCGAGCAACTGTGCAAGTTGCGTTTGGTGTGTGTGTCTCTCTCTCTGTGTGAAAGAGATTGCGCGTGCGTGCTGGTGCGCGCGCCTGAGAATTACTTAATTAAATGCTCGTAGGGAACCGCGATATCCTACAATATATTCGTCTCCGAAATGTATACAATTTCATTTCACCGTCCTCCGCTTTCTCCAATATAAGCAATGCTTATCTTGGGGTTCCCATTCGCTTTCTGTTCTGTGGTATGAATTCTATACCACCATTCCATGAGATTGGGTCTGAAGCATAAACCGAAATATAAAGCCACTCATTGACATGCCAGGCTATTAACTCCAAGTTATGCGTTTAGAAACAGGGTGTGTGTGTGTGTGAAGCTTATGTGTGTTTATCTGCAACAGTTGTGAGATATGTGGAGTTTCTTTCCAGATAATCAGAGTGCCAAACATTGAGAAATACAGGCAGATTACGATAGACCAGCCATTCTGATATCTAAAAGGTTGACTCCGAAATAAATGTACCTGTAGCCCAATTCTACGCACATATATTCTGGAAAAAACCCTTTTATGATTTTAGATTGTGTGCATAGGAGCATCCCTGGGCTCACAACGAAAGTATGTTTCTATCTAGGACATAGGTATACCTGTATACATGTAGACTTCTAATCCCGAATTTGGCTGCCTATTACCTGCTGCGTTTGCCTGGCAGGTACTGAACCTGTAGGCAAATTGTTAGAGAAAGGCTTTGGGTTATAGCTAAGGACTCTGCGGTGTCTGCTACGTTTCTGGCAATACGGATCACAGGTAGGAAATTACATCTAGTGAGTAATATATTACAGCAGAAGTGTTACGGTATGTATGATGGGCGACTCAATCCACACATGATGCATTGATACGATCACATCCTACAGTACTTGGAATGGTTGAACTCGGTAGGTATAATGCATGTACCTGGCGGAGGCCCCGCTAATTTCAATGGCGCCTGCTGCTTAAGCAGCCGTGCTTAGAAGGAAAGTGCGCATCTAGGGAAGGCAGGTTAAAATGAATCGCCGTGGCCCAGACTGAAGCTACCATTAATGTATACGCGTGAAGTGTGTAGGGTTGGCCCCATCCGTGAAATTCTATTGGCTGGCGCAGTTTGTCATTTCGATCTTCATATTTCTCTGTAAGATTTTAAAGCTTCGATGGTGCGGGTCTTTTAAATGGAAACACTGTAGGATTGAGCTTTACTAAATTGATTTCCCGCAAGTATAACTTTTATTGAAAGGAAAATGTGGATGGACTGCTAAGATCGCTCCACCAAATGCCATTCAACTGGGATTCTTACCAAAAGGTTTGCTTCTGGAATAACCATACTGAATCTAACGAGCAGGCCTGTACCTTAAGGTTGCAAACCCAAATGCATGCCCCAGGAAGTTAAATTCCACTGAAATGTGTTTTTTTAATCTAGGCTGTTTAAACTGCATCCCTCAGTCAACTGTCTCATACCAGGAACCTGAGCACATTTTTTTGGCAATAAGCTCCACAGTGATTTATAGTAGAGTATAGACTATGGATTGATGATAGCAACTTTACTTTTAGGATGGCAGGACAAGCCTGTAACACCACCCGGGAGCAGTTCCCTGTTATCATTAGCAGTATCGACAGACGGTCGGTAGTAGAGATAGAGTAGAGTAGTAGAGATTGGCTGCCTTGTTGCTCCCAAAATTACCCAAAAGGGAGCCTGAGTCGACCAGGAGTCTATAACCTTTAATACGCCACAAGGCTCCTTCCGCATAACCTAAGTTGGTTGTATCGACTTTATACCCCTTTGTTCCAAATTTCCTCTTATTAAAAGTGGAGCCTCCTTGATCAGGAGCAGCCGATCTGTAACGAACGGCTGCTTGTGAACTTCCCAAACGCTTAGGGCAAACCACTCTAGAGGACAGAAGGCAGAGCAAGATGGGATTTTTGAGCCAGCAAGACAAATATTGCGCTTTTTCGAAAATCCCTCCAAGGTGGCCCAGCGGAGACCGTTTGCGGAGCGGTGCTGAGGACTTCCGTCAGGGTGCTGAGTCCGGGAAGGCTGCTGCGCCCAGACCAACAGGGTGCTTTCCCCCAGCGTTGCTTTCCCCCCTCCTCTTTAAGAGGGACAGAAGCCAAGAACGCTACTGACCCCTATTGGTTTCTAGATCAGAAGGATTGGGAGGAGGAGGGGCGGATTCTTGTGATCTGCCACCAATCTTGGGGAAGCAGGAGGCTTTCCCTGCCCCCGGGGAGGGGGCACTGAGAATGAAAGCGGCTCAGTCCTGGCGACAGAGTGCCCAACGCGCCGGGACGCTCCTGCCCAGGCTCTGAGGTTGTCCTGAGACGAACCAGCCTCTCCCACCCTCTTGGAAGATTGTTGTCCAAGGTTCCCCCAGGTCTTTCAGCCCTCTTTGCCAACCGAGACCTGGGAGTTGGTGGGGCTGGGTGGCGGGAGCAGCTGTCAGTCCCGGGGAGGGGGACCCTCCCCCCCCCCAGTGGATGTAGCGGGGGCGGTTCTTGGCTCCATTCAAGCGCCTGAATTAGCAGCCGCGAAACACTTGAGGAGCATCCATTATTGATAGCTCCTGCCAGAGCTCCGCAGACGAAAATAGCTGCCGGAGAGACGCGCAGTGACCTAAATCCGGCAGCAGGGAGACCACGACGGAGATCAGGCTGGGTGGGAAGCGGGGAGGGGTGGGGAACCGTTGTAAGACGCAGAAAAGAGAGTGGAGAGCGTGTGTCTGCTTGCGCAGAGGAAGGAAGGAAGGGGAGAAACGCAAACTCATGCCCCGAGTCCAGAGCCGCTCCATTCCTGCGTTTTTAGAGACGTCTCCTCCCCAGGGGGTCTCCTCCTACTTCTCAGGAGTAGGGACACCCTGAGGCCTTGGGAGAAGGTGGGAAGAAAGCCCAGCCCACAGGAAGCTGCCTTAAACCGAGCCACAGCATTGCAGTCAGTTTAGGATTTCCAATGTTCTTCGGTCTTGGAGCTCCATATACTATTAGACTACAACTCCCATCATGCCCCGGCCAGTTTAGCCAATGGTCAGGGATGACGGGCGTTGTAATCCGAAAAGATCTGGGACCCAAGGTTGAGGAGAACTGGTCGATACTGGGTTTCAGACAGAGGCTTTTCCAGTCCTACCAGGAGATGCGAGGGGTTAAATCTTATGCATTGTAAAAGTGTGTCTTACCAGAGCCCTTTCAAATATGTGAAGAAAATATCTGGGCATTAAAAATATAGCCATAATAAAAACCCTATTGCTTATTTTTCACACGCTGATTCTGGCCTGCTTCCCAGACACTGCGTGTGAATGGCGTGTGTTGGGTGTATAAAGATCTTTTCATCTCCCAATCGTTTTTACACCGTTCCCTGGTTAGATTCTGCGTTGCCCACAAGCCTGGATTAAGGGTGCAAGGGATCTCAGGCTAATAGGAGGGAACTGTATGTTGACGAGGGAGAGAAGCATTAATTAATCAAACGAATTATCTTAAATTAATATGTATTAAAATAAGAAAAGAAATAAGATAAATATCGGAACACTAATTTCTTTAAAGGGAAATCCCTCTTCTACCCTATAGCTGTGGCAAAGTCACGAGTGATGTAGTTCATGCCTACATACAGAGATTCTCATTTCACAACAACCCTGTGAGGAAGACAAGGCTACAAGAAAGTGGTGGGTCCGAGGTCGCCCATTGAGCTTAACAGAGGGCCTAACCCAGAAGACTCTCCGGTTGTTGTCTCAACATCCAGCCTAACTGGGGTTGATGGAGTCCGCTAACATCCGGAGGTCCACAGGTTCCCATCACTGGTCTGAACCCTAGCAATGTAATGGTTAATTCGTCCCTACGCGCCCAAGGTCTCCTCCCAACAAGTGACATGGCCAAGCGAGGATTTCAACCCAATCTCCCAGCCTCCATGCATGCTCTGATCCACTCCACTTCCACTGCCTCTGAACTGTCCGAGACACCGAAATAAAATCGAAACGAAACCGATTTGCAGAAAGGCAGAAAGGATTCCGGGGTGGGGAGGTCTTGAGTTCAAGATCCCCTCCCCCTTTGTCCCACTGGGTCAACTGGGAGCGCGAAAAGCCTTTGGCTTGAATGAGAAAAGATGGGCGAAGACCTTTGAACGCTACCTGGGAACGGAGAACTGGAAGTGGACCCCTGGATGGAAGGTGTAATAGAGGGACAAAACAGGCGGCTGGCGAGCAGGAGGAATTGTTGCAGAGATGTCTGCCCCTCCTCCTCTTCCCTCCTCTCGTTTTGGCAGCCTGTGGGGCTCTTTCTTCCCCTTTTTTGGGGGGGGGGCTCCCTTAGCTGGCTGGCAGTCTTCTTCCTCGCGGCTAAGGGGGCAGACCAAGCGTAGGGGAAGCGAAGTGGTGGGAAAGGGAGCGAGCCTCGGGCGCCATGGGTGCATCTGAGTGGGGGGGAGGGTGCCTCCTGGTCCCAGCCAGTGCCGCCTCCCCCTCCTCCCACCGCCGCCCCCTCGACGTGCCCACCCACCCCGCTCCCGCCGCGATCCCGCACTCAAGGCGCGGCGCCTGTCTCCCTCTACAGCAGGATGGAAGATGAAGCGTACGACGAAGACGGCAACACCCTGCCCGACTACGCCTTCGACAGCGAGCCCCTCGGGATAGCCGACCCTTCCTCCATGCTGGACGACGTGTACACCTTGTATTACCCACCGGAAAAGAGGTGATTAAGCCACAGATAGATAGAGTTCAAAGCAGGCTGCGATCCTGGCCACCCTGACCTGGACTGGACGCGCCCCTTGCGCCGGAGCAGCTGCGCAATGGACCGCGCGGTGGGTGTGGCGGGCCAGTGGGGGTGGGGTGGGAAGAGAGGTGGTTTCCCAGCCTTCCTCCGCTTTGTCTTTGGAAGAGGGTGAGGAGGAGAAGCACCCCTCTCAAGCCGAGGATCCTCCTCTGCAAGGTTTCCGCGTCAGACCGAGAACAGACGGGGTAGGGAAGAAGGAGGCGAGCAATCCGACTTACCTCTCTCCGGGAAAAAAAAGCCAGTTTCTGAGCAGCGCGCCGCGCGCCCCATCCTAGAAAATAACCCGAGTTGCCCCGACAGCTGCCAGCTGGGGGTGGGAAGAGGGATGGGAGCGCGCGCGCTCGAGACTCCGCTGCCCAGGTAGGCGCGGCCCGAGGTCCCTGGGGGACCCAAGCAGAGGCAGACCCCCAGATCCCCCCCCCCCTTGCTGAGGTTTTCCTGCAGGATGAGCCCTGGGTAGTACTCGGTCCCTCCATCAGCTTGCTGGCCGTGGCTTGTTGCCTGTTTTATTTTGATCTCTGTGTCTCCCTCCTCCCTCCCTCTCTCCACCGCTTCCCTCCCCCCTTCGTTTCTTCTTTCTAGGCATGCGGACGGGATCTTTAATAAAGCCTACAGGAAAGTCTTGGGCCAGTTATCGGCGAGGAAGTACCTTCATTCTCTGATGGCCAAGCGGGTGGGGTAAGACGGTCTTCCTTGTTTGGGTGGGGGTGGGGTGGGGAGGGAGTGTGGGTGTGTAAGGGGTGGGGGAGAATCTAAGGAACAAATCTTAATGGACCATCCCATGGGGTTAGAATGCATTAAATGGCACTGGGCATGTTATTCTGTAGAGCTCAGCGGATCTGTCATCTCTGCACAAACGATAGAAATGCATGCAAACCTGGATCACAGTTCGATTCACAGTTCTGGATCAAACTGTCCCAGGGTGCGTGGAAGACCAACAAGCATAGCTGTCAACTTTTCCCTTTTCTTGCGAGGAATCCTATTCGGAGTAAGGGAATTTCCCTTAAAAAAAGTAAAACGTTGACAGCTATGCCAACAAGTCTGTCTCTAAGTCAGCGCGTTTAGGGAACGTGGGTGCCAGTCGGGTCATCGCCGTTAAGTTGGGCTGTTGATCAAACTACGGGTGGAATGTCATCCAGAGAAGAGTATTATTAAACAGAACTGGGCTGAACTCCCGGAGAGGTGGGCTTTCCCGGTTTACAACCTTCAGAGGATTGAGCTATATTGTTAAATAGGGTTGCTAATCCTCCACGCTCCCTCGAATGTGACACAACCGGCCTCCCTCCCCGCCCCATTCAGCCTGACGGGATGAAAAGGTGCGGCGACAAGCTCAGCTGATAAAGACCTTGTCAGTTGCACAGTTCGCTCCTCTGCAGAGTCTGACCGACCCCCTCCAACCCGCTGGGGATGATTAAATAAATACTCGAGGCTCCTTTGGGAGGAAGAGGGCATCATTTCCATAGATCCAGGCGCAGACTGACCACAGAACGTGCGGAAAGGAAATAAAATTGGAAGTAAAAACAAAGCAGCCCCTCCCTCCTTCTCCCCCCCCCCCCCGTCCCCGACCTCTGCTTTGAAATCAACCCTCCTAGCCGGATGCCAGCCCGCGCGTGTATCGGCAGAAGGCAACATTTTAATAAAGCCCAGGGGGAAATGGATTACACCATTTCAGGATGAATAATTCATGCCAGGAAGAGATTGTCTCCCTACTGTCGACTTGTATTATGATCACACTTCAACTTCCGCAGCGTGGTTAGAGAAAGCCTTTGTTTCTTGGCGCCGGGGAAAAAACCTGCCCTTTATTGCTCCGGCCCCTGCTCTACGTGTTGCTCGCGCTGCTTGAAAGGAGCAACCCCCATCTTTTAAGAAACAAAACAAAACCCCGATCCCTGCACACTCCACCGCCAGATCCTTCCCTAGACCACATGTTTTTGGATAACTCTGTGATAAAAAGGATGATGATAATGAGGATGATATAAAGGGGGAAACACACACACACACAAGCTTCGAATTGTTGAAAGGATGAAGGTTAATCGGGGCAGATCGCGAGGGGCTTATTGTTTGGCATGGGGGGCATTGGCCTGTGGAGCAAGCCTGGGTAGGAAAGAAAAGGGAAAGCTGGGAAACCCCCCGAAACACAAACACACACACACACACACACACACACACACACAGCGGACAGCAATACAATGGAAGATAAAGAGGAACAGAAAGTGACTCCTTCCTCTTGTTTATGAACAAGATGATGCGCAATAAGAGTCTACACTGAGTCTATCCAGCAAACGCCCATTGGCAGTGAAACTGACCAGCCTTCTGGGCGTTAAGGTGGCCTGCCTGCGCATTTTGGGCGCAATTTCCCGACCCCTTTCCCTTTTCTGCTTCCGAAAGACGTAGCTCCTGCGGCAGGGTTGGCGGTTTCCGATTTTGCAACCACGTTTCGCTTTGCCTTCTTTTTCTCTCCTCCTCTCTTTCCCCTACTCCTTGCAGCGGAGCGAGCGGCCTGGAGGATGACTCGGAACCGCTTTCCAAAAGGCACTCGGACGGCATATTCACAGACAGCTACAGCCGCTACCGAAAACAAATGGCTGTCAAGAAATACTTGGCAGCAGTCCTGGGGAAAAGGTATAAACAAAGAGTTAGAAACAAAGGACGCCGAGTAGCCTATTTGTAGCGATGAGTTTCCCAATCGCTCCTGTGTATACAAAAGCCCCGGGGGAAAAAAAATCCGAGAGAGGACCCCCCCAACCCGCCCCCGTCCCTAAAAAGTCATTTCCAAACTGACTGATCAATCACCGCTCCTGTGTTATCTAAACATGTATTTATGTATGAAGTAAAGCCATTAAATGAATATTTTGATAATAATATTGTTTTTCTTTTGTACCAAAATAATATTTAAGAATAAGCACTAGAGAAAACGCACAGATCTACTTTGTGGACCAATCCTTAAACTAACTAACTAAATGTTAAGATTAGAATCTATAGACCTGCTAGAGCCAGCTCGATAGACTAGGGAATTAGAGAGGACCAATTGATGCTGCAGTGGTTAGCATTTGCACAAGAGACCGAGGACATTCGCCTGAGCTGTTTTATGTTTTTATATTTAAAAAAAGAAGAGAAAAAAGTGGAGAAGACAATCATTGTTTTGAATATTGCTCCTATTTTTGTAATGGAAATTAAAAGGAGAGTATTTTTATCCATGACAGGGTTGAAGAAATTACTATTCTCCATTTGCTACTGTACATAGACAAAGATGCCCTGCTACAAGGGGAATATGAGGCTATTGATTTGGGAGAATTACTGACGCAGTTCCTTGCCCCGGTGAGTCTCCTGTCAGGCTCCTTTGACACGTCCTTCCTCCTTCCCCCTTCCCTCCCCCCCTTGCTAGAAATGACATTTCCCTGCTTTACTCTGACTGTCCTTTTTTCTATGTATCTGCTCTGATACCAAGTGAAGAACGGAGCCTGCAAGACCGTTTAAGGTGCATCGGCCGCCCCTCGCCCCAGAACCCCTCTCTCCTGGCCACTCCTCTCAATAGGAGGGGGGGCAAAGGAGCGCCTCTCCCTGCCTGTACGAGGGGAGAGGGGGTGAAGGGTCATGCCGATCCGCCTTAGCGCTTGTGAGCAGAGAGGACCAGGGTCCGGTAGTTTAAGAGACGATTGTAGTTCAGCAGGATGCAAATTGTCGAAATAAATAGTTGCGCCCCAATGAGAAATCCTGGAAGAGTTGTTTTTTTCTGGTTTCTAGGATAGCAGACTAAGAAGGGGGCCTGTTCCCATATGCAGGTGTGTGTATACACATATAGATACACAATGCACTGTGTATAAATATATACACAGTGTGTATAAATATATATATCTCACACTGTGCATATGTAGGGTCCAGACTTAGCCATGCTCAGAATAGATTGATGCGTCAACTCTAAGAACGCCAAAGTCTGGATCCAACCCTGAGGTAGCCTCAGAAGTAATAAGTTCGATCCGTTAGGAAGTTCGGAGTTCAGATCTAGGGCGGAATAGAGAAGAAACGACCCCCCTACCCCATCCCTTTGGGTTTTGGACTTGGCACAGTGTAGGTTCTAGGAGTTAAAGATAACCTGCCCCATCAGGCCGGATCTATCCATGCAGCAGACGGAGGTGAAACTCGTGATGGCAAAGTGGACAATAGCACTTCAGAAAGAAAGAAAGAAAGAAAGAAAGAAAGAGTCCTGCCAGTAGAAAACTGGAAGGAAGATTCTAGTACAGTTCCATTCCTCCATTCCCAACGCCAGAAGTTAATAAGATATAGAAATAATTAAAGGGAGCATTTTTTTTTAAATTAAAAAAGTGCACCTGTAATCTGAAATGGTATATTCCACTCTGCAACCTTAAGCAACTCTACCACCTTCCGTTTCCACCTATTCTGCTGCAGGTGTGGATCCCGCCTCAAAGAGATCCATCGGCCTACGAGCTGTTTGGTATCGGATCTTGATGCAAAGTATTCACGTGTAACTCTCCAGTGCTGTCCATCCTTCTTCTCATCTTGTGATATATTGGCTAGCGTTCTCTCTTGATAATCGCCCCCCGCCCCGCCCGCCCGGTGGGAGTCACTTTCACCCTCTCTCCCTCCCCGCGCCCCTAGTTCATGGTTCCCTGATAGAACTTTCGCTTCTCCGCCCTCGATGGCCTCTCTCGCAAATGTTGTGTTTTCCATCGGGGCCACTTTCGTTTCTTTTTTCCCTCGAAAGCAACAACCAACAATTATATTGTGAACGCCTCAGGCACTTTTGGTTTTGTTATGATGCAAGCTCTTAATTGTCAGACTGTCTTAGGCCCCTCCCCCCCTGCTGTAGCGCCTATATCTATATATCTCTCTATATATTCCACCACTAAAGAATTATGCACTATGACGAAAAAGTTTTTTTTCCCTTTCTTTTTCCTTTCCTTTTCGGTTCCTTGTTGATTTATTGAGTTTGGAGGTTTAAAATGTATTTTTCTACATTATGGCTTTAACCGCTTAGTAAAATTTATTTCATACAATCAACTTTGGTCATGCTAGAATGTGTAGTGTTCCCTCTGCGCTTCAGTTTCTAAGACCTGATCAAGCATCTTTCTGTGGGGACGGGGACCTTGAAATGTGAGTGCGTGTGCGCCTGCGCGTGCGTTTGTGTTTGTGTGTGAAGTGTGTGGAGGGCATTGAAATAATCCCTTGGATTGTGTGCAGTGGGTATTGAAATAGTCCCAACTCTGAAGGGACTTGTTTTCCCCCTCTTTCCTCCAGAGAATTAACTGCCAAATGTAAATAGGGTGGTTCGAAGCCGATCTAGTTCTGTTGAACTCAATGGGGCTGAAGGTTGCAGTTCCAAACCGTCCATTCTCGTTGATGGTCTTTGTCCTGCCTTCTGTTCATTCACACTTATTTGGGTTGCGCCTGCGCACGGCGCCAGTCACAGGTATGAATGAGCGGAAGCTGCTCAAAGAACAAGCAACACCCCGCCCCCCTCTCTCTTCCCACTGAAATCACGGGAACTTGGCATTTTTAAGTCAGCAGACTTATTCAGAAGGACGTCCCATTCATTTCAATGGAAAACACATTTGTTGAGGGTTCTCTTGACAGTACGGTCATTTTACCCTGGGTTGAATAGCCTTAGCGGCTCTCCCGCTCCCCTTCAGATGGTAAACCAGCCCTACTGTATTTAGGGACCCAGGACTTTCTTCCCAGGGTTCTGCCTCCACGGCACCATTGCTTTAAGGAGCTGAGTACCTTTTGGGATGTCGTCTGTCGGCTGCAATGCGCCTTAAAGGATCAGGGTGTCAATCAGCTTCAATCATAGGGTGGCATCGGATTAATTGGGTCTCCCGCAGCTCAGACTCGACCAAACGGGTGGGCGTCTTATTTCTAGAGCCCCCATCTCAGATCTCCTTGTTGAGTTGTAGGACTTGGATCTAAATCCATTTAGGTTGTCACCTTTCATTCATGTGTTGGAAAGAAATCTCTTTTTTTAGCAGTGGGATTTTGCTTGACCGTTCAACTGAAGTCAACGGAGTGAAAACCTAACCTCGATGCAAAACGCATCTCCCAAGTTAAAAAGTTGCCCAGGTTTCCAACTCCGTGTGATTCTTCCTCCTGTAATTTACCTGTATTTGACACCTCTAGTTAGTCAAGTTAAAAGCAGGACAAATATGACCATACTAAGTACAGTCTCCTTTGCTTCAAAAAATTAAACAGAAGAGGGGAGAAGGCAACCTTTTTTTCCTGTGTTGATGACATTGCTTCTAGTTATTATGGGGGAAATGAAAGAGTACCCGCAACAAATAGCTGCGCTGCACATTGAAAGCAGCATCGCACCCCGCAGAGAATCCCGATAGCTGTAGTTTGTTAAGGGTGCTGAGCCTTGTTAGGAGACGCACTATTCCCCTCACAGAGCTACGATTGCCAGAGTGGTTTAACAACCAGCCCCTCTCCTCAGGGAGCTCTGGCAACTGCAACTCTTTGAGGGGAATAACAGGGGTCTCTCCTAGCAACTCAGCACTCTTAAGAAACTACGGCCCCCAGAATTCTTTGAGGGAAGCCGCGACCGTTTCAGGGGTAGGAGACTGCTTTAAAAAGCGCAGCGCACATGGAGTTCTTCTGTGCCCGCCCCGTAACTTTAACGTAGAATTATCCTTCGTGTCTGAAACGACAGCCCTGTTATGAATGGCCCTTGTTTTTCCGAGTAAAGGGGATTTTTAGCCTGTGAGAATCGTCAGCAGGATTCCCAGCTCCTCAGCTACTGAAAACGGGTGGTGGGGAGATCTGGAAGCTCTTGAGAGATTGGCACTCTGATCCCGACGGCAGTTTAGCAGCCGGCTCCCCGTTGAAATGAATGGAACGCGTCTCCTAAGGGCAAAGCCGGGGCGGAGGTGCACGCCAGAGCCCCCTAGAGCCCAGTGCCTCGTCTTGCTTTACGAGCCACTCAGCCGTCGAGCAGAGAAAAGGCGCCCGTCTCACCCGTCAGACTCTCCCGCCCCCCCCCCGTCTGATCCGGGCCTCCAGTAATCCATCACAGCAGACCCAATCGAGTTTGCATGCAGGTCCCAGGCGGGCTACGGCTGCAGCCAGCGGTAGCGCAGCCGTCGAGGGCCTTCGATCTGATGCCTGAGTGGTGTGTATGAGATCAATCTTACTTGAATTTTGCATTCTCTTCAGGCCATGTGACGCAGGATGCCGTTTGCAGCTTTTCGTGCCTTCCCTTCGCCTTTTAAATCGCCACGAGTTCACAGATGGCTATTTAGTGGCCCTACAATGCTGCAACACATCAGCTTGCATTTCTTTCTTTTCGCTTTCCCTCCCTTTCCCTTTCCTTCTTTTGGTGTTAAGTCTCCAAGCCTCGCGAGTTGTTCCTTTGACGAGGACAACGGGCAGGACCTCTTGCTGTGTGTTTGTGTCCCATGTTTGGTGCGATGACGCGACGGCGACCTCTAGGGGCTCCCTTTTGACGTGCTAGTCGTGTTCAGCTTCGCCTTGCTAGTCCAGTGGGCTAGTCAGTTTCAGTCAGTCTGCCAGCGTAACGTTTCTCCACACAGCCCGTGGTCGCCTGTCTAGGATAGCTATCCTCTGTCGCCAAGAGCCTTAAATCCCATGGATCCAATTGGAAATCCAGTGATCACTGAGGTTAGATGTCAGTATTTTGGAGATATCTATCTATATCTATATATTTTTTCTTCCTTCTGTGTAGCAACTTGAGTATCAAAAAAGCACTACAGCAAAAAGTAAAACACCCGTGGTTTCCATCAATAGGACTTTGAGAACTGTTATTTCAAAGTGTGTAAAGTTTGTATTAATAAATTTTTGTAAACAATGCCATTTCGTCTAATGTTTGGGGGAGACAGTGCAAATGGATTTCCACCAGGAAATAACCTCTTAAATTATGGTTCTGATTATTTTATTTTTAACGAAATCTATAACATTTTATTTTAACCTGTAGGGTGTCTTCTTCCCCCCACCTTTCTTATTTGATGCTTCTACAATATAATCAAGTAGGAAATTATTGGAACTGCAACTTCAGACACAATCGAGAGAAGGAACCAAAAGCAAAAGCCACCCCAACCAACTCATTCAAAATAATCAGGTTTTTTAAAAAAAGAAATAAAGCTTTACTTTCTCCCACTTGTTATAGGGATCCTCCAATCACTTTGAGAGCCAGCTCTTATGTACACTCCAATGAATTTGTTGCAGCTGCTCTTGAAGCAATGGTTTAAGTCTCTCAGCTATCTGACTTTAGAGCAGGAATGGGGAACCTGTGGCTTGCCAGATTTTGTTGGACTGGTCCTGCCCCATCAGCCCCACCCAGCATGGTCAGGAGTGATGGAAACTGTAGTCCAGCAACATCTGGAGGGTCACAGTTTAGCCACACCTGCTTTAGAAAGTCAAGTCGAACAGATGTGGGGCAACTATCTGAAGAACGTTACCATCCGTGTTTAAATGTCATTGAAATTAATAGGATGTGCAGTGTGATCCTACACACTTTGAGGAAACCTCAAGGGGACTTTCTTCGGAGTAGACGGGATCATGGTGTTCAACTCTTCACTGGGCCCTCTTGTACAACTGAATTCTGTAGGAATTAGGCACGGGTATTTCTGGATTGTGTTCAAGAGCTGCACTTTTGAAACCAGGCTTACTAACTGGGGAGTAAATCTCATTAAAAACGTGATGGGATTTATTTTGGAGTAAACATAGACTGTCTCCTGGAGGTGAATCCGTGATCAGGCCTGCAGCTCTTTTCCATGCATGTTTTCTGTGAAATAAACCCCAGCAAATTCAGCAGGTCTGTCTCTTTAGTACTTTCTTTAGGACTTTCCACGGGCCCCTCCAGACTGGTGTTTTTTTTGTGGGTGTTTTCTGCAATTTGTCATTAACACAATAAGAGTGCACGAGTGGTGGATTTACACTGGGCTGTGTGCACATCCTGCTGCTTTCTTAGCTATTCTGCCATGAGTATTACTGCATTCTCGCCATCTGGAGGAGCACTCTTGCACTATAGTGCAACAGAAGCGGCACATTCCCTCCTCCCTGCAAATGTCTGTGATATGAAAAGTTATGGGATTTTAGTAGGAAACCATGGGACATGCACTGAAACGAAGCAGAAATACTGCCCCCAAACCTTAGAAGGCACAAACAACATGGAAAGCAGGAATGCATCTAACCAAACTGATACCATCATGGACACAAAAGCATGACGCATACTCCATAAAAAAGGACATTTTATGGGGCCCTAAGAAACATGGTTAAGAATGTGCAGTAATGGACAGCCCAGGAATTCCCATAGTGCAATATTTATTATAATAAAGAGGATGTGCTAAACTAAAGCATGAATGGTTAACTTGTGGTCCTCCAAATGTTTTGGAACACAACTCCCAGCAGCCTCTGGCTGGGGCTGATGTGTCACACAGTACAAAATATCTAAAGAGCACCAGACTGGGGAAGACTGTTCTAAAAACACAAAACGTTCTGATACATTTTAAAACATTCCATCTCTCCAATGCTATCAATGCTCTAAGCACTCCAGTTTCAAGTTACACCTGTTTGTACTCAGGTACAAAGCAACAGCATTAGGACCACTTAGTCAAAAACACGGCTCCACTACTCTAAAAAGTGTTGCTTCAAGTCCCATCCACCAGCATGTGGAGAGTTAAGGGGCTCCTTTGAGAACGGTGCCTGCTACCTGGGAACCAGGTTGAACTGACAGCATAAGGATTCATAGTAGGGTATTCTAAGGGGAAGGGGACGCGGGTGGCGCTGTGGGTAAAACCTCAGCGCCTAGGGCTTGCCGATCGCATGGTTGGCGGTTCGAATCCCCGCGGCAGGGTGAGCTCCCGTCTTTCGGTCCCAGCTCCTGCCCACCTAGCAGTTCGAAAGCACCCTTAAGTGCAAGTAGATAAATAGGTACCGCTTTATAGCGGGAAGGTAAACGGCGTTTCCGAGTGCTGCGCTGGTGCCGGCTCGCCAGAGCAGCTTCGTCATGCTGGCCACGTGACCCGGAAGTGTCTCCGGACAGCGCTGGCCCCCGGCCTCTTAAGTGAGATGGGTGCACAACCCTAGAGGCGGACACGACTGGCCCGCAAGGGCAGGGGTACCTTTACCTTTTATTCTAAGGGGAAGCCTTCAGTTAAATGTGTGGGAAATAATTGGAAATACTCCAGATCCTTGTTATGCTTGTGATTACCATCATTCCAGCAGATTAGAAACTGTTCTTAGCTAGAGTGTAAAAAGCTCCTCCACATTTAAATTAAAGAAAGAAAAACAATCCTCCTATGCTTCTTTGTTCAGTACCAGAAATAATCAAACCACTCCAAGATGGCAAAACTACGAAGTTGTAGAAACAGCAGCAGCAGCAGGAGCAACAGGCCCACTCCAAGATGATGTGCTACTTCAGTAAAAACCTAAGCTTGGAAAAGGTGCCTTAACACCATGATACTTGGAAGCAAGACCCATTGGTGCAGAAGGAAAAGTTACAGAACTTGAGTTAGTTCCATTCAAGCCAGTGAGAGGCTAGGCTGTTAGGGGACAATTACCTGATCTCCAACAAGCAGATTTCATGAGGTTAACATCTAGTTAACAGCAAACACAAACATTGATTGTATGGATTGCTCTGGGCTGGTGTGCATGTCATGATCCAGTCTATTTCTGCTCCTTTATAGCTGGGAAATCTTTTCTCCTGGCAGGAGGATATTACGGTAAGTGAACAGTGATTTGCATCCTAAGAGGATTTCTATGATACACTGATTTTTCTGGCACACACAAAGGAACTTATTAGTGCCTGAAGGCAACAGCCATGCCAGCTACTCTTCCTTGCTTCCTTCCACCAGACACATTAACACAATATTATGCTGAGCAACCATAAAGTTGTTGTGATGTTTGTGGGTAGATATCATGACTGATATCAGCCCAATAGATCCCATCTGTCCTGTGCAGTTCTTCCCTAGAACGTTAAATTTCATAGTGAGACATATACTTCCCTCTATCCTGGACAATGCCAAATGTAGGTTTCTAGTCATTTCCTTTTGAGCTCTGCTTAAGTCACTAGGGTCAACCCCCTCCCAACTATGCATGGTATAAATGCATTTGATCATAAAATATGCCTCCACCAATGTGCTGTATAACTCCAAAACCAGGACTTGTTCTTTCAATAGCCTCAAATCATCCCAGCACTGCTGAATCCAACCATACTGAAAAACAGTTGGCAGGAGACAGTCCTAAGTCATGCCATGCTGACCTGTCTCCCTATCAGATGGTGAGCCACTGGCTAAGGCCATGTTGTGTTCTAGCCCTTGTGTTTGCTGCTTTGTGGCTGATCCGGAACACCCTACTATGGCCACAAATAACAACCCGCCCTCATTCCTTCCTTTTCCAGCAACCTGTTGAAAAATAAAACACCTTGAGAACAACAAGGGAAAAGTACCAACTCTTTCCTTCCATGGGATGCTTATAACCATTAAAAGCTGCAGAATGCCACCTCCTTCTCACCTTACCATGCTCTTCTGGGAGGCCCGAATTCTCTGCAGCCAGTTGTTATATTGGATGCTCTGTTGCTTGGACTAGAAAGCCAGGTCTGACACGAGTGGGGAGAGTGCTGTTGTGTTCAAATCTTGCTTTCAGGCTTCCCATAGGTATCTGGTTGGCCACTATGAGAATGCTGGACTAGATGGCTCATTAGCCTGATCAAGCGGTCTCTTCTTATCTTTTAAAGTTTTTAACCTAGAACAAACCACACCCTGCCATGGCCATAAAATGGAAATCATCAACGTAGTTCACCAGGGTATTGAAAGTTGTCCAGTTCCTTAATGCCAACTAAAAAAAAAAATGCACTGAATTTTTCAAACATCGCCAATAAGAATTCTATACATATACAATTTTCCCTGGAAGGAAAGTTGCAAAAATGTAGCAGCATTCACCGATTAAAAGATGCTATCCAACAGCTATTTATCTATCACATTTAATTTTCTTCATTGCATTTTCCTCTCACAGCAACCATGTGGGGTAGACTACTACTGTTCCCATATTGTGGGTAGTACTTTTGAGGCTGTGAGCAAATGACATGCACAAGAAAGACCGTACGATGAGCACATGACAGGTGATCAGGAAGGACTTAAATCCAAAGCACATATGCTCTGTCTGCAAGACTTCCCTGTTCTACTGCATTACCCTGATGTCAAGTG